CTTTACTTCTTTATTTACTGTTCTATGTTTTAAGAAAAATAAGTTTAAGAATTTACTTCTATATAGCAACAGCATATATAATGTATAACAATTGAAATGTGACTGTATTTTACAAAATACTAGTCTACTAAAACACAGCCAAGACAGGCAACTTTGTAAAAGACTAAAGGTCAGTTTTATACTATTAGATAGTAACATCTGTAACTTCCGTATTGTTAGCCAGGCATGGGTGAAATGTCAATATAATAAATATATATGAATGTATAATGTTATGAGATTTAAGCTATTTAGTCTAAACATTTATGTTTTCGTGTTATAGCCATTATAGAATGAAAAAGGCATAATTTATATTTGTTTCCTAATTTTTTTTTAAGATGGTTACGAGATCGGTCATATAGACCAAACCCATACAGAGATTTATTACTGAAAATAACTGATAAAATATAAAGTTTTTTTAAAAGAAATGTTTGATAACAATCTGGACATTATAAAGATTTTGCATGTGAAATTTGAAAATTTTCTGATGCACAAAAGTATTTTTTATCTTAAAATGAAAACTACTTTGCCATGATAGATAAGCAAGATGTGAAAAGAAAAAAAAGGCATGAGAGAAATATTGCTTTACAAACCTTAAAACTTGGATATTTTGCTCATTAAATCATTGTAATGTTTACTGATAAACTGTCAAATTCCTTTAAAATTCGCTTACTAATTTAAAAGTTATAGCACGAAAACTATAACAAGCACAAAATGGTTACAAGGTTGGTTCCAGGGACCGAACCCATGTTAAAAGAGTTAAATACTATACAGTTCTCTTCTTCTTGTCAAAAGTCCATATAAGCCAATTCAATTGTTTTAGAATTCAGTTGAAAAGCCAAACTATTTTTTATCTTAAACACTTTCAGTGTATAATTCACTTATTCCTTTTTCTTCTTTCATCATAACAATATTGGTGTATAATTCATTTACACTGTCATTAAGTTACCACAGTTGAATCATGAACTTCCAACAATCGTCTGCTTTTTTATATTTAGGCCTACTTCCAATAAACACCTGCTTTTCGCATATAGGCCTACTTCTAAATAATGGTGTGCTTTTTGTCCACACAAGCAGGTTCAATTGCTTTACAACACCCTTTGATGAGACAACTTATTCTACTATAATGTCAAAAAACTGTCAATATCACTTTAACATATCAACCATTAAGCTATTCACTCCTATGACAGTTAACTTTACATTTTATAACTTTTATCTGACTGAAACTCTCTTTCACTCCTCTTTACTTTTGGCTCTCTACCTAATCTCTGGTCTCTTGTCTGGTCACCACTATTTATATCTCTCACTGATGCATTCTAGAAATCTCTGTACCAGTGACATCAATAACTTATAAACACAACTTCCAATAATCATCTGTTTTTAACTCTCTTATTATGAAAAACAAACTAAACAATCATGAAGTATTAACTCACAAAATAAATAAATTAATAATACCTACACTAAATAGTTATTATTTCTGACAAATACTATTTGTGAAGAGTAGCCACATGATATGTACATATTCAAAAATGGTGCAAAATTGATGGGGTACATCAACTGGTGTGCTGAGTGGAAAATTTTTTAGCAGTGTTTATAGGGCAGAAAGAAGATCAGGATAGCTTTGTGTAAATGAAGGTAAGACCGTATCGGAACACATTATAAAGATTCAAATGCATGATTTCCTCTCAAATGGTTGAGAAAGGAGAAATTTCTTAAGGTTAACTAAACGTCTACTGTGTCAACACAAAAAACTACAACATATTGTTATCACTGAAGATGTGGTAAGAGGACTCAGTAGCCCAGTCGATTGAAAACAATTACAAATTAGCTAAGTTTCATAACAATAACTAAATTTGTTTAACACAAACAGTTATAATCATGCCTTTATGCTGAATCTATTTTGTCAAGAGCACATATTTTCAATATATTTGTAAATATCAATCTCCTAATGGTAATCAATTGTAACTCAAGGTATCATTATATTTATTGAATTACCTGAGAGTAGCCATATGTTTCAAACCACTAGCACTAGGGCCTGGACTCTGTGTCCTCGATACACTAGTAGGTGTAGCTGCACGACTTGTCTGGTTGCTCCTGTAGGGGGAGTAAGAGGTATGAGATGGAGAATGACCAGTGTAGTTGTGGCGAGAGTGGCTACTACTACTACTAGTTGGTAAACCTGATCCCTGCCCTACTGGAGTGTGAGTTAACCATGAACATGATGGAGCAGAGCTACTATCACAAATTGTTCTTATACAGGCTTGGCTGGCTTCCTGGAATACAAATAAATTTAGTGAGAAGGATTTAGAATACTTAGAAGCTAAAAACATGCATTACAATGAAATGCAACTGAAAAAAACATAGTACTTTATTCTACCTACAGAATGAATTCTTAGACATAATTGGCTGAAAACGATTCACGTGATTTGAAACATTTAGTGTTCCCTTGACTGCCAAACAACATATTGCATCAATGTTGCCTAGTTATCAAGGCAGTTGTCATGAATGTGTGATATCACAGCAGAACTTTGCAGATGGTAATCTTTTGCAGCACAGTGAATACAAGTTGATTCATTTAGGCCTAATTACAAACAATTGGCTTAACTCTCTCAACACGGGCTCGGTCAATTTGACCAAACATGTGACCCCTTTGTACTTGTTTAAAGTTTTTATAGATTTAATTCTTCTAACTTTCAATATAGGTGTGTATATCTTCACAAAATGTAGCAGTCTTTCAGTTAACATTATAATTCTTTCACATACAAAAATTAATATTTTTTAGTGAAGTATTTTTAATAAACTAAAATAAAGATTTGTTCATGAATATATTGAGTATTTGTTTTGAACAGTCCATGTGCAAAGTAATTTTCATGTTAAGATTAAAAATACTTTTCTTCATCTCAAAAATCTCCCTAACTCAAAATGGGATCAGTCAATTTGATCGACCTCATAACCACCAAAAAAAATTTAAATAAATCTAAATTACCCTTTTTTTTTCTTCCTAGAATGACTTCAAATTGTAAGATGAAACTACAATAGTTTATCCTAAGTATCTTTAAGCTTGTAACAGTATACATCTATTTATAATTCAATTTTATTGTTTTAACCCTATCATCCATGTCAGAAAGTTTTAGTGTCTTACATTCAAAATTTTATTAAACTACTTTTTGTTTATGTTATACCAATTAATATGGCATAAACATTTAGCTAATAATCCATATTTTAATAGTATAAAAATTTTAAGTGCTTAATTCTACAAGGGAATATTTAAAAAAATCCTTAATTTCCACTTGTGTAACCCATGTAACACATTTTGTCTTAGCATGTCATCATCCATATTTTATCCACCCCCCTCGAAAATGTACGAAATTAAACATAAATTACTCTCTATAAAATCGTTATTGCTCAGATAAACCATAATTTTTATATCCTTCAATTTTGTTTGGTTACAGAGCTATCAAACAGAAAATCAGACTCCTCCTGCCACACCCACCTGTCACATCCTCTCTTTCACAATTCGTTGATAGTTCTCTCTTACATTTCATTATATATATTATCTATAACCAATAGAAAGTCAAGGTTTTCATCTATCAAATGAGGTATTGTATAATGTTGTGTTCTGAATAGATAATTATCAATTTCACTCAGAATAGCAACATCGTTCTCGTGAGAAAGTTAATGACTAGCTTGGATGAATTTATAACAGCTCTTGTCACATAGTTTGAAATCCAGGAAAATTTGGAGAGTTAATTGAATTTGTCTACTTTTTGCATGTTATTAGTCTATATTCTTCGGTGCATCATTTAATTAAATAA